ATAAAATTTATACTGTAGATAAATATAATATCTGGCTATAACATATTAAAATTTTAGCTAAATTGGATTAGTAGTTCATGAGAAATTACTTAAAAGCTATATACAATTTATATAACACAATTATATATAGTTTTTAAGCAATTTCTCAAGAATTACTAATTCAAATTGCATTAAATTTTAATATGTTATAGCCTGATATCATATTTAATAACAGTAAAATTTTTAGCTTATTTGGATAACTGGTTGCTGAGCAATTCAAATCCGGATAATAATATAATATTATGATTTTTAATATATTTTAAATATTATAATAGATTAAATTTGATTAGTCAATAGCCCTATTACTAGGGGGAGGGGGTATGATCTATGTAAACCCTAATTACGTTGATTTACTGCACTCCTCTTACCGCCTCAACATCAAAGTCTAAAGATTCTTCCTCTAATTCTTCCTTCTCAAAAAAAAGATCAAAGCTAGTATTTTCAATATCTAGTATATTTGTAAGATTTGTAGTTGTAACTTGTTCTTTGGTTTTTTTTTGTTGTTTCAGAGAACTTTTGTTGAAGGTTATGGTGGAGCATTCCAAGCATCCTCATTAGAGTAGGAGACATTCTATTTCGCGATTTTGGTTTTACTAGTCCTAAGCTAGAAAAGAGACATTCAACAGCTGCTACATGTAGAACGATTGAAAAGACCTTCATAGCAAGTTATCAGAGAAGTGGAGAACCTCTAGCAAATTGTGCCCAGAATACTCGGGGGTTAACTCCTTTTATATTTTTGTAAGTATCAAAAGGGGCATCTCCATTTTTATAATTGATGAGCTCTTTATATAAAAGAGTTGTTTCTCTTTTATCAAACCCCCAAGCCTTTTCAAACTCCAAAGAAGCTCTAACAATTAACTTTTCTGTCATCTGTTCTGACATTGAAACTTGTTTGTGATATAGTAACAAAAAAAAAGCAACAAAATAAATGTTGTCAGAAAATTCACAGGCTCATCTATCTATAGCTGCTAATGCATAATTTTTCAATCTATCAATTGGAATATTTGTTTTTAAAATAGTATGATGAATATTAATTAATTCTTGAAAAATATCAGCTAATGTAGTACTTCTCGATTCAAGATGACCAATGGCGTTAATGACAGAAATAAGCACTGCTACTAATGTATCGTTGTTGGCAAAATGATAACGGCTACTGACTATATCTTTAATTTCTGCTTTAATTGCAGGGTAATTTTGAGTTCTACTAAGATCAATATATTGAAGAAACCTTCTTTCAAAAGCTTTTACACCCAAACAAACCTTTGCAAGAGAGTACCATTTGGTCTCATAAAAGGTTGTAAGTGAATACTGTAGTCCCTCTTTTTTTTGCCAATCTCTCAGTGTTCTAAGCCAAATATGGGAAGAAGTAAAAAAATTAACAATTTTCTGATTATTTTTAATAACTGAAAGTAAAGGTTAAAATGAGGAAATATTATTCGCAAGGAGATTAAAGGTGTGAAGACAACAGCGAATAGAAACTATATTAGGATGTTTTTTATTAAGGTCAGTTCTCATTCTGACCATAACTGACAGATTATTAGTTATATATGCAATAACGGAATTTATGTTAACTGAATTTAATTGAAGAGTTTTTTCAAATTGCTCTCCAAGAAAACTTGCTGTGTGACGGTTTGCTGAAAGGTCAACTATATCTAAAACACATTCCTTATCCTCTTTTAAAAACATAAAACCATAAATTGAATTTTGGGAAACGTTTTGCCATTCATCCAAGACAATAGTAACATTGGTAAAAGATACCATTATTTCATATTTCTTAGCCAGGTAAATAGAGAATGAATTGTTAAGAATTTTAGTACTCAATATTTCAGCAGAAGGCAGAATATAGTTTGGAGCAATTTCATCTAAAAAATCAAGAAAATAAGGATTTTTGACGATTTTAAAAGAAAGATTTCTATAAATGGCAGCATCAAGTAACTTCTTATCAACTTTGGTTTGTTTATCTTGTGAAATTGGTTTACACCAATTTAATAGACTCTCCTGGCGTTTTACTACAGAAGTAGAAGAGCTATTTTTGGCACTATTGGATCTATAAACTTTAAATTAATTAAGTATTTTATAATATTAACAAATGATTTATAATAACATACTGTTCTTGGTCCGAACTAATCCAAGTTCTTTTATTATGAGTTTTAGAGACAGAACTGGCAGCCTTTTTAATATAACTACTTTTTTCAGTAACATCACAACTACTACATGCAAGAACATGGCTATGTAGCTTTTCAGGTCTGCCAGAGAGTTCGTATTTACAATAGGTACACTTGGCCTTATATCTATTGCCCGCAGCTTTTTTGGAATAACGCCAAAATCCAGTCCAATGGTAATCATGAGTTGTCATATTTGGACAAACAAAACCAGTAGGTGGTTGAGATTTCATAATATTATTGTGAATTTAGAGTATTTTATTGAAATAAGATAAGTTTTTATTTACTTTGAATTTTAAGCTAAGCAAAATTCATGCAATAACTTCTTTTTTTTTACATTAACTACTAAACTACTTCTTAACCTACATCATTATCTTATGCTATACTTATATTAATATGTGTTTAGCCTCGTACAAGGTGGCTTTAACTATACAAAATTTATATTTTACAATGTAGTTATATCATCTAGTCTTGTTAATATGCACGAAAAACTGGATTTAAAATATGAAATTCAAATTAATTAATACTAAAAAGAAAGTTCAATTAAATTTACCATATATGCATTATTTATTTCTTAGCCACTTAAGTGGCATGCCAAATCAATTTTTGGCATGCCATTGGCATGCACTGTTGGCATACCACCATTGGCATGCTCATGCCACTGTGCCAGACACCCTAGATAGAAGTTGGTCAGTAGACATTGTACAGTAGTACAGTATATATAGCGAGGTATATATAATTAGGTTTGGGAACCAACTAGTGATTTAGTAATTGTTCTGGTCAAAAGGGGCGGTTATTAAGGAGGTAAAATCTCATATAGCAGGTCACACATAAGTACTAAGTTAGTAACTGGGTGAGCCTTATCTGTAATAAATTAGATAGTTGTAAATGTATGTATGTACATTTGTAACCACAATACCTTAGAGTACTAATAAACAGTAAAGGCAAGACTGCCGAATTAAAAAAAAAAAAAATTAAGTAAAATTGCATTTGATTATACAGTATATGGTTACCAATTTTTTCTGATGCAATAGAATGTAGCTTGTGTATATAGTAATTTTCTTAGTGATAAAAAAGAAAATTTAAGTACTGAATCGCTTAAAAAATTAAATATGATGTATTTCAACAACTTGGATTAATTTTTTGAACTAAAAAATACAATAAATTGACCTTTATTATCAATAAAATTTTTATCAAAATTTATCCAAATATTTATAATTTTCCGAATAAATTTTTACGAATAATAAAAATAATTTTTTCGTGTCTCTGATGTTGATATTAATAAAAATTTTTGGAGGGCAATTTTTCTTATATAAAGAACACCTCTAACCCTAACCTAATCATAAGTTGAAAGTGATCCTAATTCTAAATTTAATTCAATAAAAATCTATTCCGTTTTAAACATCTCCCTTTTTCGGGTTTGTATTAATTACAGAAATAAGTGTGAATACCAGATCCAAAATTATAATCAGGTTTATACACGTCAATTTATTATTTTCTAATACTGTAAATGAAGTATCCGGAGAAATTCAAATATTAAATATGATAAATAGGATGGAGCGGTATAATAAGGTAAATAAGATGTATAACACGATCTATTAAGATATATAAATATGTAGTAGCAAAGTGTCTAAAATAAAAGTCCCACCGTTATTACAAATATTAAAGAAAAAGAAAGGGTTTTATGTTATAACCCATTTTTAATATATATAATGTCTCGGTAAACACATTTAATTAATAGAGTCAACAATTGAAGAAGGCGTTCGCGATGATCCATTTTGTGATTGGCGAGCTGGAAAAGGATCTGTTTTATGTGTTAAATGGGTTGGAAAAGGTGGTGGTTCCGTAAATGTCATTTCATCGGACTTTGCAGACCTTCTATCTGGTAAGGAAGTAAGTAATGTAGATGTATTACTTTTACTCTGAGGAGTTGAAGGAACAGAATCAGGTGTTGGTAGTCCATGAATTATTCTCCTTGGTGGCGGTCGTGGAGGAACTAAATTCTCTCTTTTACGAAGCTCTTCATCAACCTTTTTTACTAATTCTTCTACGTCCAAAATTCTTGGAATTGACAGAACGTTTACAGCTTTCGGTTCTGCTTGTACTTTTTGCCGATTCTTATTATATGGGGCTGAATCACGATTTCTCTTTGTATATTGTCCCTGGTGTTTTTCAAGATTTCTTCGTCTTTCTCGCCTTGATTCATGATTTAATTTTGCACTAATACCTTTTTTAGCTTTTCGTATTTGTTTGCCTTTACGTGTATTAGAAACTGGTGGTTGATTATTAAATGACATTAATATACTTTGCTCTAATAATTGCTGTCTGAATATTTGAGAAGCACGTTTGACTTGTGGAACAGTGACAGATAAACGTTTCTTTTTTGAATTATTACGCGTTGGCTGATTTAGCCGAGGCGATGCATGCACGAGAGATTTACGCTTGGCATTTTGGGATAAAGGTACATGGGCGACAGATCCACGCTTGACGTGTTGAGATAAAGGTACAAGAGAAGCGTGAAGGAGTTTTGGTTCATTTTGACGCGTTGGCAACCATCGACCTTTTTGATTATTTAATATAGGTAAGTCATCTTCCATATCAGTTGGATCATTTGAATATGTAGGATTACAAGTTGTAGAATTTTCCAACACTCGTAATTTTTTCCTTATTACTTTCTTATTCGGTACTGGACCTTTTAAAGGTGATGGACTAAAATGACCTAATGATGAACGTTTTGAAGACAAAACCACCATTTTTGAATATGCATGTGCGTTCACATTATTTGCATCATATAATCTACTTTGTCTCTTTGTCTTTACTATTTGCGTTGATAACCGTTGCTGTTTCCTTGGTCTTGGTCGATCGTTCTGCTTTAAAGTATTATTTAAAACAACCTCACGTTCTGAAGACTTTTGAATTTTGGCACGTGAATCCTCATGATCCTGAATAACTTTTGTATAAGAACTGTTATAAAAATTGTTATTAATTTTATGTGTAAAGGAAGGGTTGATATCCGAATTATTTTTTTTCCGAGAATTCTGATCTACTTCAACAACTTGAACAGTAGTTATAGTAATGCCACCGAGAAATGGATGTTGTTGTGATACATTTGAATATGTACTTTCTCTTTCTCTTTCTCTTTCTAAATTCTTGACATCTAATGTAGCCACAGAATTTTTAATATTTGGTGGAGCAGATATTCTTTCTTGTAACATAGGTGATGTAGTAGGAGATTGTACAAGCGATTTTGAGAGTGTCCGTTTAGTATCTTGTGCAGAACCTTCACTACTACCTACATCTTTCATATTAGACATATTATAGTCATACCAATTCAATTCATACGTAGCATATCTTCGAGCTGCAAGTATATCACTCTTTTTTGTTTCACTTGAACGACGTTGGTCGTCAAGTTTTGCACGCATAGATCTCATAGATCTTGAAGATTGATGTGTGACAACTGATTCGCTCGAACGACGATATATTTGCAGCATGGCATCCATAGATCGAGTCATATCAAATAAAATTGGTTTTAAATGAGGCTGGAATTGTAATTTTGGTAAAGTATAATGAATTGATGATGAAATATTTGTTATTTTTTTTATTTTATTTTATATATATATTTAGAAAAAAAAGAAAGCAAACCTATGGATTGAAAAGAAAGCAAGTATCTTATTTTACAGCAGTTGGAGCTGTTGTGACGTTTCGTTTTGTTATAAATTTTTCCGGCCGAATATACTGTATATTCTTTCTGGAAAAAAAAAAATAACAGAAATTCTAATCAAGTTAAGGAAATATCAAGATTTGATTTACTCTGAATGGAATTAAATTTAGAACTTAAAGCCTTTTTTTTTTTTTTTGGTACAATAAGATGTTAGAATTATTTACACTAGATATATTCGTACAGAAAAATGAAAATTTTTGCCCAAATTTGGATTCAAAAGAAACAAAGCTTTAATAATTCTAAAAATGATATTAAAGGATACGGTGCCAGCCAAAAAAAACGTCAAAGTAAAATCAGCGGCGGGAAGGCGAAATATTTGATAAGGGTGGAAGTTCACTAAAGAACATTCCCTTTTTTTTTTTATATATCGATGGTATTGGATACTTCACTTTTGGATGAAATTGACAACCCGACGCGCTGAAAAGGTTAAAACAATTGTGTAAAGCTCTCCAGAGCTTTATTATAGGAGAAAAATATTCATTGCAAATCTTGAAAGTATTAATTGTGTAACAAGTAATAACAGGGTACATTATGTAAATTTAATATAAAATGCTTCATTTTGAATTCAGTCATTTGCTGCCTGCTTAATTGTATTAATCGGTTCTGCATTTGCGCATTAACCACACATTAGCAACCAATTACAATGAATTTGTTTTAGCATTTATTATATTATTATCAATCTTATGTGCATTAACATGTTACACCATTCATTTTAAAATTGCTAACAGTATTTGTGTAATTATTAATACAAATATTGCATGCAAGGATTCTTTTATTACCTTGATAGGTTCTTTTATTTCATATGTCGATGTTTAATTCTGGTTACAGTACATATACATTACATCGACATGTACAATTTCGACCTAGATCGGGAGAACTGATTAATTTAAATATATGCATGCATGTATCAAACCGATGATGATAAATTACTATCTAATCTTGTGTTAGCCCATCTTTCAGAAGTTCGTTGGTCAAATATCGCAAGAGAAAATTTTCCTGAAAGGAATAGAAGTTCTTTATTCAATCGATGGAATGTTATTAAGAAAAGATTGTGGAATGGTGGTTTTGAACCTAGAGGAGAAGGTAAGGACGACTGAAAGATAAGTCACACAAGCCTGAAAGGGAATGAATACATCTATCTTCCTTTAGATGAAATTATTTTGTGAAAATAATGTTAATTATAATTAGAATTATTTCTGCAGAAATTAAAATAGATTTACATATTTTTCTTATCACCTATGTAAAGGTCAGTTAATGATTATATATTTCCAAATTACTCTTTTTGTCAAACGATGAATAAACAAAAACAATAAAAAAAGGAAACTGTAAATAAATAAAGTTAAAAATACTACGACAATAGCCCTACATATGTATATACCAGGTTGTTCTTTTGTTTCAACGTTTGTGTGCCACTTTAATGTTGCGCTTTTTGGAATTCTTTTTGTGCTTTTCTGGAAGCTTAAGTCCCACAAATTTCAACTGATTATCTATTGTATGTACTGTACGTACTCTGTAGAACAAAGAAAGGATGAGACGCGAAATGCAGTGTAGTAATATTGAGGAAATAAGAAAAATCATCACTTTTAAATATGCTGTTAATTATGTGAATACTGTAATTTCGGCAAATGGTACCCTTGTCAAATACTTCACTACTTGTACCAGTCTTGTACCCCGGGATTATTTCTATTATTTCTGTATAATTGCAGGACAATGTACAAGTGGTACGGTTGATGTCATCTGTTCTAAATATCCGTCAATTTGAGTAGTACGAGAATTGTAAATTACTTTATACGTGGTAACCATTTTAATGGCAAAAAGAATTAGCGTTATTTTATAGCGATAATAACAGGCAGTAATTCAGTTGCAATTGATGATTCAGAAAATGTATTCCATTTGTTATCAAGGAAATTGTTGTATGCGAAAGGCTTCCTCTACACCCACACTTGATATCGAAAATACAATCTAATGCTAGCTTTGATAAGTTGGGTAAAAATTTTAAAAATTTGTTTTCTCTTACTAGTAAACTCATTTGCTTTGCTAAGAGAATTTAATATAGAAACAAAAAATCTTAAAAAAAAAAAAAACACTGGGAGGCAGATATTAATTGTAAGAAATCTATAAAATTATGTAAATCTATTTTAATTTCTGCAGAAATAATTCTAATTATAATTAACATTATTTTCACAAAATAATTTCATCTAAAGGAAGATAGATGTATTCATTCCCTTTCAGGCTTGTGTGACTTATCTTTCAGTCGTCCTTACCTTCTCCTCTAGGTTCAAAACCACCATTCCACAATCTTTTCTTAATAACATTCCATCGATTGAATAAAGAACTTCTATTCCTTTCAGGAAAATTTTCTCTTGCGATATTTGACCAACGAACTTCTGAAAGATGGGCTAACACAAGATTAGATAGTAATTTATCATCATCGGTTGTCCAACGACCTTTCGCTGTTGACACAATAGTTTGGTCGGACGGCTCATCGTCGTCAGTAGTTTTAGATGTGGATTTTTTTGGTTGCTTTTTAAATTCTAATACTTTTCTTGTTGTTTTGTTTGTGTTTTTTTTATTATTATCTTTGATTTTACTTTTGCGGGTTGAAGTATGATTCAAATGAGGTTGGATTTTTGAATCAGTAGCGTCTTTTTTCTCTTTAATAGTGGTACGTTGTCTTTTTCTGGAAGGCTGGGGCTAAAGAACGAATAATAAAGATTTTGTAAGCATGTAATATTTTGATTTTTATATGCAAAAAAATTTTTTTTAAGATTCAGAAATCTCGAATGTAAGAAGGAACCGATGTACTCAAAAAACAAGCATACCTCTTCAGTTTCAGATCTTTCTTTTTTTCCATTCTCTTCTACGGATTGTTTAATAGTATCTTGTTTGGTTTCATTCTTTACAGTATTCTCATTGGTTTTTTCAATATTTTCGTTTATTTTATTTCCCGTTAATTCATCTTCATGAGAAGAATATGATGGAATATCATCTTTACCTTCATCTACCTCTTGTTTTGTCTTTCTCTTTCCCATTATTCCGACTTTTTTTTTTCCAATCGGTAGGTTTAAAGCGAAGAAGCAAGACACAAAGATCAAAGGGATTTTTATTTATCAATGTTTTACACTAACTCTAAGGAAAATAAGCATGATATCATTGCTAACATATTAAAAATAATCTTTATAAAAATCGGGATTTATATTTAACTACTTCAAATCATAAATCTTTGGGATTTTCTTTTTCTTTTTGCTCACTTTTTTTAAAGTAAAATAAATTAAACAACTTACTATGTTGAAACTCAATTGTTCTAGTTTCTTTCTTACCATATCCTGAAATCAAATAGACAAACACGTTGATGATAACTTGATCTATCAAAGAATCATTCATTATCTTTGAGTATATCATTGGAGGTAAAGTTAAAAAAAAGCTACCGTAAATCGCCGGATACAAGACCCGGGTCTCTTACATTCCACCAATTTTAAATCCTATAATAGACCCGGGTCTA